CAATTATGGAGGACCTACAGCCGCACAAGCATTCCAATTTTTAAACACTCAACAAATTCCTAATTCGTCCCAATCTTCTATTTCCAACACATCTCAATCTTCTCAATTAGGGCCTTTACCTTATAGACATTTAATTCACTCACAGACATCTCAGAATTTGCCCAATAATAATATTTTTTGTACCAATTACCCAACACTCGGAACCAAACAGACAAGAGACATTGGATGCCTACGTAACTCAACAAAATCTACACCCAATGACACCAGCAGTAACTCCCAATCCAGTTCAGATCACGAACTGAGTGTGATCAAATTGACTCCAGATCCACTAACATCTAATGAATTATCATTCCTCAAATTGGGGTTAAAGTTTCTGCCCTACTGCAAGTATTGATATATATGATACCATCAAGGACTTATATCTGTTTGCAAGGAATCTTACCTACAAATATATGTTTGACCCTGATAGAGTTCGTATAAGGGAAGAAAGGGAACTAGCTGACTAAATGAAGCATTTTACAATGCAAGATTTTAGAGCCTTACAGGACCTCATGCTACTTTTGGAGGAAAGTGGGGAACACCAAGTGGACCCCTCACCCAGAAGGGCACAGGATCACATAGGTAATATACCTTCGATGAAATTGTTTAACAACAAGTCCAAAAAATGTCTTGACTTAACAAGTAATCCCAATGTGTGGGCCTTCCTTACAACAGTAGTAAGTGAGGTCAAACGTATGAAGATAATCAATTTTGAGTCTAATATGAGTCCCACACTGAGACAGGTGTTTGTTCGACTTCAAAATCGTCCCAATACAATTATTAAGCCAGCTGATCAGGGTGGAAATATAGTTCCAATGACTAATACACAGCATGAAACAATGTGCTACGACATTCTTAAGAACCAACAATGGTATAGGCCTATATCCCCTAATGTAGCAACCAGGTTCAACAATGAATTTAAACAACTCATTGCCTTAGCCTTTATGGAAGGCATAATAGATCAAGAAACATACGACTATTTAAACATTAAACACCCTCAGGAACCTATATTTTATTCTATTCCCAAAATACATAAAAGCCTACAATAGATACAATAGGTTGACCACCAGGTCAACCTATTGAATCTAGGATAGGATCTATTACGGAGAATGCCAGCAGGATAGTCAATTTTTTTCTAATGCCTCATGTTACCAGACTCCTTTCTTATGTTCGTAACACTATGGACCTACTCAGAGAAATAGAGGATGTTACCATTCCCCCAGACGCACTGCTAGATACCATTGTTATGAATCTAGCATTCCTCAAGAGCAAGGTGTCAGGGTGGTATGTACATTTTTTATGGAACAGCATAGAACACATTGGCCATTTAATGAGTTCATTTTGCAACTTTTACACTTTATTCTTACGCACAATTGGCTTATGTTTTTGGGTTCCCACTACCGCAAGGTGCAGGGCATGGCCATGGGAACGTATTGTGCCCCATCCTACGCTAATCTGTACCTAGGGCAGTGGTTCTCAACCTTTCTAACGCCGCGACCCCTTAATACAGTTCCTCATGTTGTGGTGACCCCCAACCATAAAATTATTTTCGTTGCTACTTCAGAACTGTAATTTTGCAGTGGGAGGAATAGTGCCCCCATCACTGATATCAGTGGGAGGAATAGTGTCCCATCGTTGGTATCAGTGGGAGGAATAGTGTCAGTGGGAGGAATAGTGTCCCCCATCGTTGTCAGTGGGAGGAATAGTGTCCCGCCATTGGTATCAGTGGGAGGAATAGTGCCCCATCATTGGTATCAGTGGGAGGACTAGCGCCCCATCACTGATGTCAGTGGGAGGAATAGTGTCCCATCGTTGGTATCAGTGGGAGGAATAGTGCCCCATCCTTGGTGTCAGTGGGAGGAATAGTGCCCCATCATTGGTATCAGTGGGAGGAATAGTGCCCCATCATTGGTGTCAGTGGGAGGAATAGTGCCCCATCATTGGTGTCAGTGGGGGGAATAGTGCTCCATCATTGGTGTCAGTGGGAGGAATAGTGTCCCATCATTGGTGTCAGTGGGAGGAATAGTGCCCCATCATTGGTATCAGTGGGAGGAATAGTGTCCCATCATTGGTGTCAGTGGGAGGAATAGTGCCCCATCATTGGTGTCAGTGGGAGGAATAGTGCCCCATCATTGGTGTCAGTGGGAGGAATAGTGCCCCATCGTTGGTGTCAGTGGGGGGAGGAATAGTGCCCCATCGTTGGTGTCAGTGGGGGGAGGAATAGTGCCTATCGTTGGTGTCAGTGGGGGGAGGAATAGTGCCTATCATTGGTGTCAGTGGGGGGAGGAATAGTGCCCCATCGTTGGTGCCAGTGGGAGGAATAGTGCCCCATCGTTGGTGTCAGTGGGAGGAATAGTGCCGCATCGTTGGTGTCAGTGGGGGGAGGAATAGTGCCTATCATTGGTGTCAGTGGGGGAGGAATAGTGCCCCATCGTTGGTGTCAGTGGGGGAGGAATAGTGCCCCATCGTTGGTGTCAGTGGGGGGAGGAATAGTGCCCCATCGTTGGTGTCAGTGGGGGGAGGAATAGTGCCCCATCGTTGGTGTCAGTGGGGGGAGGAATAGTGCCCCATCGTTGGTGTCAGTGGGGGGAGGAATAGTGCCCCATCGTTGGTGTCAGTGGGGGGAGGAATAGTGCCCCATCATTGGTGTCAGTGGGAGGAATAGTGCCCCATCGTTGGTGTCAGTGGGAGGAATAGTGCCCCATCGTTGGTGTCAGTGGGAGGAATAGTGCCCCATCGTTGGTGTCAGTGGGAGGAATAGTGCCCCATCGTTGGTGTCAGTGGGGGGAGGAATAGTGCCTATCATTGGTGTCAGTGGGGGGAGGAATAGTGCCCCATCGTTGGTGTCAGTGGGGGGAGGAATAGTGCCCCCATCGTTGGTATTAGTGACACAAATGATGGGGCACTATTCCTGACCCCTGATACTACCTCCTGGGCTCGCTCTCTCCCTCTCCCATCTACAGCCTGCAGAAGCAAAATTTGCACTTACCTGTCAGCTGTCTTCCTTCTCTGGCCTCTCTCCTCTTCACTCGGTCCTGCAGCTCCCTCGATCTTCTTCGATCTGCGCGCTCTGCCGCTCGGCTCCTCCTCTCCAAGCTCCACCTCCTCGCCGGTGATTGGCCGCCTGTGTGCCTCTCCTGAGCTACAGTTCCGGTGGCCAATCAGCGGCGAGGAGGCGGAGCTGTTGAGTGATCCCGGAGGTGTGGCCAGGTTACAGGGGCAGCATATCATCCCGCCCACAGATCGCGAGACAGAGCAGCGGTGTCTCGGTTCCTAAGACCATCGGAAATATGTGTTTTCCGATGGTTTTAGGCGACCCCTGGGAAATGGTCGTTCGACCCCCAAAGGGGTCGTGACCCCCAGGTTGAGAACCGCTGACCTAGGGGAACATGAATTTTTTTCAGATGAGTCATTCGTCATGTATCTTGGCCATGCATTATGCTGGCTAAGATACATTGACAACATTCTGATGATTTGGACTGGGTCAGTCCAGTTGCTTCATGAATGCATGGCTAAATTGAACTGTAACAATTATAATCTCCATTTTACCATTAATTACCATATGGATTCTATTTCATTTTTGGATGTGGCTATATCCAAGAATGCCAGTAGAAACTTGGGTACCAAACTCTATCGATGGCCACGGCCGGAAACATAATTTTACATGCCGCAAGTGCTCATCCTTCAACTCTTGTTTGAGTATACCATATCCACAGTATATCCGGCTAAGACAAAACTGCACACAGTTGGAGGATTTCAAATGGCAGGTAAAGCAACTGCGGAAGCGTCTTCTTATAAAATTTGCCTGGATTCTTATGCGTGGTTACAGTAAATCAATTCTGCGCAGGGCCTATAATCCAGCCCTGGGCAAAACACGCACTTCTTTACTTTTTCAGTCTTGACCCCTCCAATCTCTTTCCCCGACAGTAACATTTATCACTAAATATTCAACTCAGCATCTACACTTATGTTCACTCCTCCAGCAACACTGGCATCTACTTCTTGAGGACCCAGTATTGACCAAATAATCTAAAAATCAACCAGAGATAGTCTTCAGAAAAAACTCCTTCTATAGGAGATAAAATCGCATGCAGTTTATATAGACAACAAACTACTCCCAAGGTTTCATTGGATTATCGATTGGGGAGAACGAATGAGCTGGAGGTGGGTCCTATGTCTAGACATGCAGCCATGGGGGCCGCAGTGCATAGCCGACGGGTGTACATGAACGTTTTCTTTTTAGCGTGCTTGGTTCCCCCTCTGAGTTCATTCCATCCGTTGAGTGGGGATTGGATCATTAATCACGGATGGTGTGAGCACATTGTGGTTGAAGATTTTGTTGAGCACTATTTTTGGGATTGGAGCACTTTTGGAACTTTTTTTTTGGACTTTTTACACATTTACATATTGTTTTTGCACTGTGGATTGTTTATATTAACAACCAAATTTTGCTTTACTATAGATGCACCTTTTCATTGCTCCTGAAGAAGCGACTGAGAGTCAGGAAACATGTAGAGCCCATGTTTAGCTGAGGTTGTATTAGCTCCGTACTATGACAATACACCCGCGTTCTTTCAATTACATGATCATCTTTACCATCGGTGATCCACGTTTTGGTACCAATTAGGTTATATGGTCATTTGGGAGCAGTAGGATCTCAACTTTGAGGTGCAATTTGTTGTTAATTGTGGGTACTTATTTATAGTATCATATTTTAGAAATTATTGTTAATTGTTGTGACTATGTCTTGTCAATAAAGAGTATGGAGATTTTATACAAAAATTATGTTTAAGTGCCTATAAAGTCCATGCAGCTCTAATACATTTTTACTAGAGATGAGCGAAGTATTCAAAAATTCGATTCAGCTGATTCGGCGAATTCGAGGAATAAATTCGATTCGATGCGAATATATTCGCTGCGAATTTAACTTATAAAAAGGGTTTCTAGGCTTCAGAGAACCTTTATATTAGTGCAGAACACTGTACCTTTAATTTAAATGCCCTTGGAGTCTGCTGGGGAAGAGAAATAATACTGTCAGTCAGTATGACATGCAGATGAGTGCCGTCGATCTTAGAATCACCGCACACTTCACTCATTTGGGCAGTCACGGGGCCAAAACCAGAGTGTGGAGCCACAGTGTGGCGGTGGAGGCAGCAGCAATGGGAGGCCATACAGCACCCTATGACAAAAATGGAACCCACCAGCAGTGTGAGGAGACCTGAAAGTGGCACATGGCAGAGTGTGGCGATGGAGACAGCAGCAATGGGAGGCCGTACAGGGACCCATGACACACTCTAGACCTGGCAGCAGCATGAGGAGGCGGTACGGGGGCCCATGGCAGATTACGGGCCTGGCAGCAGCAATGGGAGGCCCGTAATCTGCCAGCACCCTATGACAAAATGGAACCCACAGCAGTGTAAGGAGACCTGAAAGTGGCACATGGCAGAGTCTGGCGATGAAGAGAACAGCAGCAATGGGAGGCCGTACAGGGACCCATGACACACTCTGGACCTGGCAGCAGCAAGAGGAGGCGGTACAGGGGGCCCATGGCAGAGTGGCGAAGCGTAAGCAGCATGGGAATTGAAGGCCATACAGAGGCCTATGTTAAAAATAATAATAACATGTTTGGGGCATGATTCATGGCGGATTTAGTCAGTTGTGTCAGGAACTGGTGGTTTGAAATCCAGACTAATCCACGCCTGATTCATTTTCACAAACGTGAGTCTCTCCACACTTTGGGTGGACAGTCGTGTCCTCCGCGGAGTTACAATACCTCCTGCCGCACTAAACACGCGCTCCGATGCCACGCTACTGGCCGGGCATGACAGCCTTTCAAGGGCAAATTCAGCTAGTTGGGGCCAAAGGTCAAGTTTCGTTGCCCAGTAGTCAAGGGGATTGTCTACCTCGGTTGGCAGGGTGCTGTCCAAGTAGGCCCGAGCCTGTTGTTTGAGGTCCTGCTCCAGGTCCACTGATGCTGCTGCTGCTGCTGCTGCTGCTGCTGCTGCTGCTGCTGCTGCTGCTGCTGCGGCTGGTTAGTAGTTTCCTCACTGCGCTGGTGAAGAAAGCTACTCATCATCGACTGCAGACTGAGGCAGCTGCTGCTGGTGGAGCTGCCACTGCTCCTACCACCCCACCCCTCCCCTGCTGCCATGGCAGCGGAACGCGAGCGCACAGGGCCCACAGTGTCTGAGGATGGACGTTGGCGCAGAAAGGCAGAGACCAGCTGACTACATAGGTGGTTTTTATAGTACGTTATTTGGGCTCCCTCTCAGCAGGTGTGAAAAAGGCCACCATTTTTGAACGGTAGCGAGGGTCCAACAAGGTGGACAGCCAAAAGTCATCCCTCTGTCTGATGGTTATTATTCGGCTGTCGCTACAAGCAAGCAACCGAGCATGCTATGGGCCATTTGTGCCAAGGAATGCGAGGACTCCCTGCCTCCATCTCCACAGCATACTGCCACGGTGCGTCTGGGTCCTCTGTCTCCTCCTCCTCCTCCTCTACCAGATGCTCCTGCTCCTCCACTCCTGTCCGCTGAGTGGAAAAAAACCACCCATTTCACTCAATAATTCCTGAGCACCAATGTCCTCCTCTACCTCCTCCTCTTCTTCCTGTCCTGCCCCACAGGGGTCATGTGGCGTTGAGATCTGTGCGCCACGTCTACCGCACCTGACACAGCCATTGTTAACAGCATTTGTTCCAGGACGTGCAACAGAGGAATGACGTCGTTCATCCCATAGTCCTGCCGACTCACGAATAGCGTGGCCTCCTCAAAGGGCCTGAGCAAGCGGAAGGTGTCACGCATGAGCTGCCAATGGCTGACATCTAAGTTACACAGGGGAGTACCTTTATCCGCTTGTAACATCAGGAAATCGGTGATGGCCTTTCGCTGTTCGTAAAGGGGGGTTAACATATGTAGGGTTGAATTCCACCTTGTTGCAACGTCACAGCATGAGGTATGTCGGTACGGGGGCCCATGGCAGATTACGGGCCTGGCAGCAGCAATGGGAGGCCCGTAATCTGCCAGCACCCTATGACAAAAAATGGACACACCAGCAGTGTGAGGAGACCTGAAAGTGGCACATGGCAGAGTGTGGCGATGGAGACAGCAGCAATGGGAGGCCGTACAGGGACCCATGAGAGACTCTGGACCTGGCAGCAGCATGAGGAGGCGGTACGGGGGCCCATGGCAGATTACGGGCCTGGCAGCAGCAATGGGAGGCCCGTAATCTGCCAGCACCCTATGACAAAATGGAACACACCAGCAGTGTGAGGAGACCTGAAAGTGGCACATGGCAGAGTGTGGCGATGGAGACAGCAGCAATGGGAGGCCGTACAGGGACCCATGAGAGACTCTGGACCTGGCAGCAGCATGAGGAGGCGGTACAGGGGGCCCATGGCAGATTACGGGCCTGGCAGCAGCAATGGGAGGCCCGTAATCTGCCAGCACCCTATGACAAAATGGAAACACACCAGCAGTGTGAGGAGACCTGAAAGTGGCACATGGCAGAGTGTGGCGATGGAGACAGCAGCAATGGGAGGCCGTACAGGGACCCATGAGAGACTCTGGACCTGGCAGCAGCATGAGGAGGCGGTACAGGGGCCCATGGCAGATTACGGGCCTGGCAGCAGCAGCATGGGAGGCCCGTAATCTGCCAGCACCCTATGACAAAATGGAACACCCACAGCAGTGTGAGGAGACCTGAAAGTGGCACATGGCAGAGTGTGGCGATGGAGACAGCAGCAATGGGAGGCCGTACAGGGACCCATGAGAGACTCTGGACCTGGCAGCAGCATGAGGAGGCGGTACAGGGGCCCATGGCAGATTACGGGCCTGGCAGCAGCAATGGGAGGCCCGTAATAATCTGCCAGCACCCTATGACAAAAAATGGAACACACCAGCAGTGTGAGGAGACCTGAAAGTGGCACATGGCAGAGTGTGGCGATGGAGACAGCAGCAATGGGAGGCCGTACAGGGACCCATGAGAGACTCTGGACCTGGCAGCAGCATGAGGAGGCGGTACAGGGGCCATGGCAGATTACGGGCTGGCAGCAGCAATGGGAGGCCCGTAATCTGCCAGCACCCTATGACAAAAATGGAACACCACCAGCAGTGTGAGGAGACCTGAAAGTGGCACATGGCAGAGTGTGTGGCGATGGAGACAGCAGCAATGGGAGGCCCGTACAGGGACCCATGAGAGACTCTGGACCTGGCAGCAGCATGAGGAGGCGGGGTACAGGGGCCCATGGCAGATTACGGGCCTGGCAGCAGCAATGGGAGGCCCGTAATCTGCCAGCACCCTATGACAAAAAATGGAACACACCAGCAGTGTGAGGAGACCTGAAAGTGGCATGGCAGAGTGTGGCGATGGAGACAGCAGCAATGGGGAGGCCGTACAGGGACCCATGAGACACTCTGGACCTGGCAGCAGCATGAGGAGGCGGTACAGGGGCCATGGCAGATTACGGGCCCTGGCAGCAGCAGCAATGGGAGGCCCGTAATCTGCCAGCACCCTATGACAAAAAATAGGAACACACCAGCAGTGTGAGGAGACCTGAAAAGTGGCACATGGCAGAGTGTGGCGATGGAGACAGCAGCAATGGGAGGCCGTACAGGGACCCATGAGAGACTCTGGACCTGGCAGCAGCATGAGGAGGCGGTACAGGGGCCCATGGCAGATTAGGGCCTGGCAGCAGCAATGGGAGGCCCGTAATCTGCCAGCACCCTATGACAAAAAATGGAACACACCAGCAGTGTGAGGAGACCTGAAAGTGGCACATGGCAGAGTGTGGCGATGGAGACAGCAGCAATGGGAGGCCATACAGGGACCCATGAGAGACACTCTGGACCTGGCAGCAGCATGAGGAGGCGGTACAGGGGCCCATGGCAGATTACGGGCCTGGCAGCAGCAGCAATGGGAGGCCCGTAATCTGCCAGCACCCTATGACAAAAAATGGGCACACACCAGCAGTGTGAGGAGACCTGAAAGTGGCACATGGCAGAGTGTGGCGATGGAGACAGCAGCAATGGGAGGCCGTACAGGGACCCATGAGACACTCTGGACCTGGCAGCAGCATAGAGGAGGCGGGTACAGGGGCCCATGGCAGATTACGGCCTGGCAGCAGCAGAATGGGAGGCCCGTAATCTGCCAGCACCCTATGACAAAAATGGAACACACACAGCAGTGTGAGGAGACCTGAAAGTGGCACATGGCAGAGTGTGGCGATGGAGACAGCAGCAATGGGAGGCCGTACAGGGACCCATGAGACACTGTGGACCTGGCAGCAGCATGAGGAGGCGGTACAGGGGCCCATGGCAGATTACGGGGCCTGGCAGCAGCAATGGAGGGCCCGTAATCTGCCCAGCACCCTATGACAAAATGGACCCACACAGCAGTGTGAGGAGACCTGAAAGTGGCACATGGCAGAGTGTGGCGATGGAGACAGCAGCAATGGGAGGCCGTACAGGGACCCATGAGAGACTCTGGACCTGGCAGCAGCATGAGGAGGCGGTACAGGGGCCCATGGCAGATTACGGGCCTGGCAGCAGCAATGGGAGGCCCGTAATCTGCCAGCACCCTATGACAAAAAATGGAACACACCAGCAGTGTGTGAGGAGACCTGAAAGTGGCACATGGCAGAGTGTGGCGATGGAGACAGCAGCAATGGGAGGCCGTACAGGGACCCATGAGAGACTCTGGACCTGGCAGCAGCATGAGGAGGCGGTACGGGGGCCCATGGCAGATTACGGGCCTGGCAGCAGCAATGGGAGGCCCGTAATCTGCCAGCACCCTATGACAAAAAATGGAACACACCAGCAGTGTGAGGAGACCTGAAAGTGGCACATGGCAGAGTGTGGCGATGGAGACAGCAGCAATGGGAGGCCGTACAGGGACCCATGAGACACTCTGGACCTGGCAGCAGCATGAGGAGGCGGTACAGGGGGCCCATGGCAGATTACGGGCCTGGCAGCAGCAATGGGAGGCCCGTAATCTGCCAGCACCCTATGACAAAATGGAACCCACCAGCAGTGTGAGGAGACCTGAAAGTGGCACATGGCAGAGTGTGGCGATGGAGACAGCAGCAATGGGAGGCCGTACAGGGACCCATGACAGACTCTGGACCTGGCAGCAGCATGAGGAGGCGGTACAGGGGGCCCATGGCAGATTACGGCCTGGCAGCAGCAATGGGAGGCCCGTAATCTGCCAGCACCCTATGACAAAAAATGGAACACACCAGCAGTGTGAGGAGACCTGAAAGTGCACATGTGTTTGGGGCATGCATTCATGGCGGATTTAGTCCAGTTGTGTCAGGAACTGGTGGTTTGAAATCCAGACTAATCCACGCCTGATTCATTTTCACAAACGTGAGTCTCTCCATGGGATGGCATGGCTGGGGCGTGCTGCTGGCTGCGAGTATTTTCCTCACTGCGGCTGGTGAAGAACAGATTGGACACATGCAGACAGACTGCAGCGAAGATACAGCAGCTTCTTATGGTGGAAGGCGGCAGGGCTCTACCAAGCCGGACCATGAACCAGATGCCTGCCATGGCCCCTTCTGAGCACGCAGCATGAGGGAGGCCATCACAGTAATCTGCCATGTACGTTATCACATCAGAAAGGTTTTCCCAGACCACCCAGCATGTCGGACCGCTGTTTTTAATAGTGCTGACAGTTTTCAAACGCTGGCACATCCCACTCAGTGTGCCACACCACTGGCCATCCAGTGACATTTCTGGCCAACGTTAGCAACATACGGTTTACCCATGTCCTCACTAGCTGGACACGCAAAAGGTCATCCCGCCGGAGATGGTTATTATATCGGAAAGTCCATAATTACTGGGGCTACCAAGCAAGCGTAGCATCGCTACGGTCCTGGCGAAGGACATGCGGAGGACTCTCCATTATTCTGCACAGATCCGACTATGACACTAATGGAAACCCACCATGGTGGTAGGCCTGCAGTGAGCTGAGTTGCCTCACTACTGGCCGAATGGCGGTCAGATGTTGAAAAAATTGCCAATCCACTGACACTGCTGCGACAATGGGAGTCCGTACCTGCAACCCATGACCGACTCTTTTGCTCCGTAGCCCAACATGGCACCAACTCTTCCTCGGTTGGATACATGGGACCCATGACAGATTACGGGCCTTGGCATAGCAGGCATGGGAGGCTACGTAAGTGCATACCAGCACCTCATCATCACAAAATGGAACCTCACCAGCAGTGGTCAGGAGACTGACAGTGGCCCACGTCGCTGCAGTGTGGTCGATGAGACAGACCTGTCCTCTATGGGAGGCCAGCTACCCGAGGGACTCTCCTCGCCAGAGACTCTTCTTCGACCGGGCTGCAGGCATGAGGGAGGCGATGTACGGTCCCCCCTTCCATAAGATTACCGCGGCCTGCTGTTAGGGGAGCATCAATCAAAGGCTGTACATCTGGCTATCCCCTCTGACAAATACTGCAGGCACCCACATTCGCTTGAGTGAGAACACCTGAAAGTGGCACAGGCAGAGTAAGACACGCTGATATTGGGACATGGTCTTGCTCCCCTGGCCATCCCAACTAAACGTTGTGTCCTGGCCACGTATACCCGACATGACGGCTACGTTTACTTCCTCGTAAGTGATCTTTTGACGAACATTGCACACTGAACCGAAGTAGGAAAACTTTGACCAGAGCGCCGCTACTCATGACTTCAAGGAATTGCTACTTCGGTCCGAGACAACTACCCGCACACTACTGGCGTTACACCGTTGGGTGCACTCCTCTGCTGCGACTGTCTGCATGCCGAATCTGTGGCCGTTTGCCTCCTACTGCCTAACTGGTCTGCGGAACTCCTAAAACATGCCTCCTCTGGGCAACTCCTCATGCACTCTGTTGTCTGACATACTCTGCAAGCTGGCAACGATTCTTCTCCCTGAGGATTGCGTGGAAGCAAGAGCTTGATGACGATGAGTGCTAACAAGTGCTGGTCAGCCTGATCATCATCTGTTCTGGTTCTCCGATCTCAGTAACTAATTCTTGTCCCTCAGGTAACCAATTCTGTGTCCCTGAGGAGACAAACCTGTGTCTAGGATCAGAGCTAACGAGCACTCTCTCGCTAGTACTGTTCCTGCTGGCTGATAACATATTGCGATGTCAATCCCCCCGTTCATAAAGCCCCTTCTTAGTCCTGTCTCTCCAATGAACAATTCGGGCTGAGCCTCTGTAAGCGATACTTCGCTTGGTGAAGGTCCACCTCATAAAGGGAACAAGGGGAGGCTAGTCCGACTCAGTGTTTCAATGGGCTTGCTCAGGGCATGCCAACTAAGGTTATAGTTTTTTGTGTCTTTTGTAGTGTCTGACGTACCCATCCGATAACAATGGCTGTAGGTTTCCCCCAGGTAACCATTTCTTGTGGTAAAGGGAAGTCGACCGAGCCAACCATATTCCGATGTCCCACAGTAATAATTATCTGTCGTGAGATGATCCCGGCTGTAACAGACATTCGGTGCACTGAAGCCTCTTGAGCTGCAAACTAATTCTGCCTGTCCCCTTCATCAGCTAACACGTTTCGGATCGTCTTCCCGAGTAAACAATTCTGTGTCCTAATAACCATCCTCTGG